TCAAGGTCATTTATTTGAACAAACTTGGTAGCCCTTCATCCAAGCATGTAACTGGCTAAATTTCATCACCCTAGGCCTCTCGGTTATTCAGAAGAAGTTGTTTAAATGTTTTTAACATATTTGACCTCAGTGACCTTGAATATGGTTTAAAATCATTTATTTTAACAAACTTAGTAGCCCTTCATCCCAGCATGTTACTGGCCAAATATCATCACCTTAGGCCTCTCAGTTATTCAGAAGAAGTTGTTTAAAGGTTTTAAACATATTTGACCCCTGTGACCTTGAATATAAATCAAGGTCATTTATTTGAACAAACTTGGTAGCCCTTCATCCCAGCATGTTACTGGCCAAATATCATCACCCTAGGCCTCTTGGTTATTCAGAAGAAGTTGTTTAAAGGTTTTAAACATATTTGACCCCTGTGACCTTGAATATAAATCAAGGTCATTTATTTGAACAAACTTGGTAGCCCTTCATCCCAGCATGTTACTGGCCAAATATCATCACCCTAGGCCTCTTGGTTATTCAGAAGAAGTTGTTTAAAGGTTTTAAACATATTTGACCCCTGTGACCTTGAATATAAATCAAGGTCATTTATTTGAACAAACTTGGTAGCCCTTCATCCCAGCATGTTACTGGCCAAATATCATCACCCTAGGCCTCTTGGTTATTCAGAAGAAGTTGTTTAAAGGTTTTAAACATATTTGACCCCTGTGACCTTGAATATAAATCAAGGTCATTTATTTGAACAAACTTGGTAGCCCTTCATCCCAGCATGTTACTGGCCAAATATCATCACCCTAGGCCTCTTGGTTATTCAGAAGAAGTTGTTTAAAGGTTTTAAACATATTTGACCCCTGTGACCTTGAATATAAATCAAGGTCATTTATTTGAACAAACTTGGTAGCCCTTCATCCCAGCATGTTACTGGCCAAATATCATCATCCTAGGCCTCTTGGTTATTCAGAAGAAGTTGTTTAAAGGTTTTAAACATATTTGACCCCTGTGACCTTGAATATAAGTCAAGGTCATTTATTTGAACAAACTTGGTAGCCCTTCATCCCAGCATGTTACTGGCCAAATATTAACACCCTAGGCCTCTTGGTTATTCAGAAGAAGTTG